ACTGTGTCATCAGAAAAAAAAGGCATACCTTACCCGCCAAACCTACATTTTTATCACTTCCAAGAAGAACAAAAAGTACCTAGGACAGAGTCTTGTGGTATCCCACTAGTGACTGCTTTTGTTCTGGATTAAGCCCATTTAAACCACAATCAGCTATCTATTCCTTTATCCAGCTCCTAATACATTGAACCACCCAAGTGCTAGCTTTTACAACTTTTTTATGAGATCATTATGTAGATGGTATCACATGATTTGCTAAAATCAATATAGGCTATGTCCACAGCACCGCCCTGGTTGAAAATATTTGTGACAGAGTCAATAACTTTAATCAGATTAGTCTGACATGATCTTCCCTCAGTAAAGTCATGTTGCTTTCAGCCCAGAAAATTGTGTGCTTTTCAAAGATCACTGATCCATCTTTTTAGGAGATATTCCATTAACTTTTTTTCATTACTCTTACTGGCAGTAGTTGGTAGCTTTTTCTTTACGACTCTTATTAGGTAGAGGTATAATATTAGATGATCACCAGTCATGAGTAACTTGGTAAAAATATTAGTTAATGATCCAGCAATCATACCTCAAAATTCTGTTAGAACACTGGGATAAATGTCACCTGGATCCATTAATTTATTAAGATTTAAGCAAGCTAGTTTTTTGCTACTTTGATATGAAAAACATAAATTGTACTTTATTGCTTACTTTTCCTGTGGCAGCAGGACTTAGAAGGAGCTGACTGACTAAAGGTCTCCTTCGTCCCGTCTTGCTCTTGGAATCAAAAGTTTATTTAGGATTTGATGATCTTGCATTTAAACCTATTGACATGATCATTTCTACTGTATATATTTGTGACTTTGTTTGATGCTTCATTTTGCAAGTTGGGGAACACCCACAAATAACCTTTTTTTATAAAAAGTTTTTTTAACTTATTAATCTCTAGTAAAGCATTATCTTGTAAACATATTCTTTAGAGATTCTCTTGCACTTGTGTTTGCAGTATTCCTATTCAAACAAGTGTGTCGAAGAGAGGGAGTCCGAGATTGTTCTTGGAGTTGAGGCGCAGAAAAGCCAAAATCACCAATGGCTTCTTCTAGGGTGGTGCTACACAAATAACAAATGAATGCAGAGTTTTCCAAATATCAGATATCTGTCTAACATCTCTGGTACCGCAGAAGACACAGATAAACAGCCTTGTGATTTGTTTACAAGTGTTTCTAGTGCCAGGTGGAGAGAGTAGATAGCTCAATTTAACAAATAGTACAGAGGTCTAAAGTATTTGCTTCCCATATTTAAAAAATGCTGAGATTTGCTCAGTGTATGACCCTGCACATAGAGTTACCATTGACTTTTGCTCTGTAGACGGCTTATTATTTGAGTCAATGCCACAGTGTAGCTTATAATTCAGTGGCTCAAGGTCAGCCATGTGTGTAGATTCTATAAACAGTTTAGGCAGAGGTCAGTTTACATACCAGTATGTTTTTTTTAAAACCAATGAACCACAGACTAAAGCAATAGGAGGGCATTTCTAATAAGGATGTACCCCATATCCCAGGCATCACTCATTACCTTTGTATGGGTGCAGGATCTTATCTGCCCCTTGAGATGGGAGATATTAGTAAGGAGCAGGAGCGGACTGACAACTCATGGGGCCCCCGGGCAATAGGGGATCATAGGGCCCCTGTGTCTTTGCCCAAACTCAAAAAAGCCTATGAAAAAGGTACCAGGGGCATCTCAAGGGGCCCCCTACTGACCCTGGGCCCTCGGGCAGTGCCGAGTTTCCAAATGGTCAGTCCATCCCTGGTAAGGAGCATTGCAGCAGTGAAGTTTCCAGAAAAGAAGATTCTGGACACATTATTCATGAAGGGGGAAGGGAGACTACATATGTGCTGCAGAGAAGGATGCAGAGCCTAAAAGTTAAGTCTATGGAAAGGAAGCTTCCAGAAACTTTACTAGTCAGGAAGATGGCGGTGAGGTGCACTTTGGGATGTACAACACCTGGATTGTTGGGACATATATATATATCCAGCGGACTTGGAAGACAGCTAAACTGTAAGTGTGAGTAAGACGGAGTGCTAGATAATCAGCTCAAAAGTTCATAAATCCCTATTCTTGACAATAGGGTGACAGTAAATAGATGAGTAGTAGCCTGGTTATCAACTATCATACGATCTTTTCTTTACTGTTCATCCAGATGTCTCAAGCTGGGTGGCTCCCACCCAATGGGAAATTACCCCCCCCATTTTAGAGCAGCTGAAATCAACATAAAATAGCTTTCATCAGCTAGTATTTTATGAAAATAAATTAAATTGTAAGTGGGACTTTTAACATACACAACATAATAGTTATGCATAAATATTGAAACTCTTTGTGGCACATATCAACTGCTAGTTGAGGCTGTCTTGCTGTACCTGTTATTGTGGGACCGGGTTGGTGGACATAATTTTGCAATGTTTGTTTACTCCAATTGGTGTTAAAGTGTTACTAAACCCAGGACCCTGCATCTCTATATCTGGTCTCCCACAGTACACAGAACAAGGAAATGCAATTATTTTAGTAAATATAAACTGCTAAATACCTTTTCTCATCAGCAGTGACTTCTATCAGTGTCCAGCAGAGCACTGATTAAAGCTTGTAGGAAGAGCTCAACCCCTGACCCTCTGTCTGGACAGCTCTGATTGGCCCTGTGCTGATCACATGCAGTCTCCCAAGAAGAAGAAAAAACTCTCTAGCAATACACACAAAACAGAGCATGTGCAGCTTGCCCCCAAGACTCTGTTCTATCAGCAGATGAATTGGGGACTGTGGAAGAAGGTAAGGATCAGAGAACACAGGATCAAACAGCCTTTTTACACAACACAGAGGATTAACCCCTTAGGTTCCACAGTGAGTAAAACAAGCATGCTTTACTGCATATACAGAATGATTTAGTAACACTTTAAACTAGTTATTCCCTGCCATATCTGAGCTACAAAGCTGGCATAGTCAGCAAGATAGCTTAGTCCATTTATAATAAAGTCTGCTAGTGCAAACACTACCACTACTATGGTTGGTGCCTTGGGAACCATCCTTGCCCATTTCCCAATATTTATAGGCTCCAACCTGTTAACTAGAGAACTGGTCCAACTGACTGGAAAGCATTGTCCTCTTGAAGCAGCTTCAAGCAAAGTTGGCCTTTAACATGCTGGAGGGACATGCAGTTGGTCTGTGTTGCTGTGACCATGTGAAGATAGGAGTAGCCCTAATTGACAATAAATATATATTGAGCGACTTTCAGTGGGGAAAATAATTATTTGATCCCCTGCAGAATATATAGGTTTGCCAACTTACAAACAAATAAAGGGTCTATAATTTTTATCATAGGTGTATTTTAAGGATACAAAGGGGTTTAAATGACCTATGAGGAGCTATGGTAGCACTTTCAACTATACTGAACATATTTCTGTGCCGAAAAACATGCCGCCCCCGTGAGACTATCTGCTGTATTTAATGTTTCTTACATAGAAAAAAGGTAGTAGAAAAAAAAAAATTAAAAATTAAAGCAACAGTACACAAATCAAACACTTAAGAAAAAACAACAAAAATAAAAAGACCAAATTAAATAAACCACAGTACTCTAAAAGAGAGCCCCTCTAAATAAAGCAAATTTTGGCAATATACAACAATATATTTTTTTTAAAAAGAGAAGTATGGCTAAAGCCTGCTGTCAGCTGATGTCACCAAGCCACTCCAGTCTCTGGATTCCACTCAGATGCCTGATCAGATGATTCACTCAGCTGCTCCTGCCCGGCACTCCAGTAAGCACTGGAGGGGCAGAGCACAGAGCAGTGACTGTCACTCCTCTGTGCTCAGAGTGGACGAAAGAACTGAGCGATCAGTGGTCACATGATCACTCGGTTCTTGGGCGTATAACAGCTGCAGCATCACACCGATGCTACAGCCATATAAACTATATTGCCAAAAGTATTGGTATGCCTGCCTTTACACGCACATGAACTTTAATGGCATCCCAGTCTTAGTCCATAGGGTTCAATATTGAGATGGCGCACCCTTTGCATCTATAACAGCTTAACTCTTCTGGAAAGGCTGTCCACAAGGTTTAGGAGTGTGTCTATGGGAATGTTTGACCATTCTTCCAGAAGTGCATTTGTGAGGTCAGGCACTAATGTCAGACAAGAAGGCCTGGCTAGCAGTCTCCGCTCTAATTCATCCCAAAGGTGTTCTGTCGGGTTGAGGTCAGGACTGTGCAGACCAGTCAAGTTCCTCCACCCCAAACTGGCTCATCCATGTCTTTATGGATCTTGCTTTGTGTACTGGTGTGCAGTCATGTTGGAACAGGAAGGGTCATCCCCAAACTGTTCTCACAAAGTTGGGAGCATGAAATTGTCCAAAACGTCTTGGTATGCTGACGCCTTACAAATTCCCTTCAGTGGAACTAAGGGGCCAAGCCCAACCCCTGAAAAACCACGCCACACCATAATCCCCCCTCCACCAAACTTTACACTTGGCACAATGCAGTCAGGCAAGTACCGTCCTCCTGGCATCCGCTAAACCCAAACACATCCATCGGATTGCTAGACAGAGAAGCGTGATTCCTCACTCCAGAGAACACGTCTCCACTGCTCTAGAATACAGTGGCAGCATGTTTTACACAACTGCATCCAATGCTTTGCATTGCACTTGGTGATGTAAGGCTTGGATGCAACTGCTGAGCCATGGAAACCCATTCCATGAAGCTCTCTACACACTGTTTGTGCTAATCTGAATGCCACATGAAGTTTGGAGGTCTTTAGCTATTGGCTCTGCAGACAGTTGGCAACTTCTGCACACTGTGCACTTCAGCATGCGCTGACCCCGCTCTGTCATTTTACGTAGCCTACCACTTCATGGCTGCGTTGCTGTTGATTCCAGTTGCTTCCACTTTGTTATAATACCACCAACAGTTGACCATGGAATATTTAGTAGCAAGGAAATTTCATGGATGGACTTATTGCACAGGTGGCAACCTATCACGGTACCACGCTTGAATTCACTGAGTTCTTGAGAGCGACCCATTCTTTCACAAATGTTTGTAGAAGCAGTCTGCATGCCTAGGGGCTTGATTTTATACACCTGTGGCCATGGAGATGATTAAACACCTGAATCCAATGATTTGGAGGGCTGGCCCAATACTTTTGCCAATACAGTGTAGGTGAGTATGCATGTTTGTTTTGTTTCCTGCACTTCTTTTAAAGACTTAAAATATGTTATAAAACATGTTACCAGTAGATGGCAATGTTATAAAAATATTTGAAATCACTAAAGTAACTTTCAGTCTTAAAAGAAACTCATGCTATAGTAAACTATTCATTTTGCAAGTGATTCTAACACATTTTAGGCAACAGAGGGGCATTGTAGAGCAGGCTAAGGCAGTGCATAAATTATTTTTGTGTTTGAAAGTGTATCTAAACCCCCCAAAAAGAAATGTAATACATTACAGCTTAGTAGTCCTTAGATGTGATGGCTGCATTAGTTTTCTGTTTTAGACTTTTCCCTTAATTTTCACCTGGTGACCCTGCCAGTAACACACTTCCCCCACACACGCACCCTCCAAACTGCATCAAATAGTGGGTATCATCAAATTTAACAGTGAGAGGGTCTTAAAGGAGCATTAAATACCAGGCGTGCATTACATACAGAGTGCAGAGTTCAGTGGGGTTACACACAGAGTGCAGAGTCCAGGGATGCGCTACATGCAGAGTTTGGGGGTGAACTACATATATAGCACAGAGTTTAGGGGTGTGCTGCATACAGAGTGAAGAGTTCAGGGTTGTGCTACACATAGAGTGCAGAGTTCAGTGGGGTTACACACAGTGCAGAGTCCAGGGGTGCACTACATGGAGATTTTGGGGGGTGAACTACATACATAGTATTGAGTTTAGGGGTGTGCTGAATACAGAGTGAAGAGTTCAGGGTTGTGCTACATGTAGAGTGCAGAGTTCAGTGAGGTTACACACAGAGTGCAGAGTCCAGGGGTACAATATATGCAGAGTTTGGAGGTGAACACACACATAGTACGAAGTTTAGGGGTGTGCTGCATACAGAATGAAGAGTTCAGGGTTGTGCTACATGTAGAGTGCAAAGCTCAGTGGGGTTACACACAGAGTGCAGAGTCCAGGGGTGCGCTACATGCAGAGTTTGGGAGTGAACTACATATATAGCACAGAGTTTAGGGGTGTGCTGCATACAGAGTGAAGAGTTCAGGGTTGTGCTACACATAGAGTGCAGAGTTCAGTGGGGTTACACACAGTGCAGAGTCCAGGGGTGCGCTACATGCAGATTTTGGGGGTGAACTACATACATAGTATTGAGTTTAGGGGTGTGCTTAATACAGAGTGAAGAGTTTCAGGGTTGTGCTACATGTAGAGTGCAGAGTTCAGTGAGGTTACACACAGAGTGCAGAGTCCAGGGGTACAATATATGCAGAGTTTGGAGGTGAACTACATACATAGTACAAAGTTTAGGGGTGTGCTGCATACAGAATGAAGAGTTCAGGGTTGTGCTACATGTAGAGTGCAAAGCTCAGTGGGTTACACACAGAGTGCAGAGTCCAGGGGTGCGCTACGTGCAGAGTTTGGGGATGGACTACATACATAGTACTGAGTTTAGGGGTGTGCTGCATACAGAATGAAGAGTTCAGGGTTGTGCTACACGTAGAGTGCAGAGTTCAGTGGGGTTACACACAGTGCAGAGTCCAGGGGTGCGCTACATGCAGATTGTGGGGGTGAACTACATACATAGTATTGAGTTTAGGGGTGTGCTTAATACAGAGTGAAGAGTTCAGGGTTGTGCTACATGTAGAGTGCAGAGTTCAGTGGGGTTACACACAGTGCAGAGTCCAGGGGTGCGCTACATGCAGATTTTGGGGGTGAACTACATACATAGTATTGAGTTTAGGGGTGTGCTGCATACAGAGTGAAGAGTTCAGGGTTGTGCTACATGTAGAGTGCAGAGTTAAGTGGGGTTACACACAGAGTGCAGAGTCCAGGGGTGCACTACATGCAGAGTTTGGGGGTGAAATACATACATAGTACAAGGTTTAGGGGTGTGCTGCATACAGAGTGAAGAGTTCAGGGTTGTGCTACACGTAGAGTACAGAGTTCAGTGGGGTTACACACAGAGTGCAGAGTCCAGGGGTGCGATACATGCAGAGTTTGGAGGTGCACTACATACATAGTACAGAGTTCAGGGGTGCACTACATGCAAAGATTGGGGGTGCACTACACACATAGTACAGAGTTCAGGGGTGAGCTGCATACAGAGTGAAGAGTTCAGGGTTGTGCTACACGTAGAGTACAGAGTTCAGTGGGGTTACACACAGAGTACAGAGTCCAGGGGTGCGCTACATGCAGAGTTTGGGGGTGAACTACATACATAGTACAAAGTTTAGGGGTGTGCTGCATACAGAGTGAAGAGTTCAGGGTTGTGCTACACGTAGAGTACAGAGTTCAGTGGGGTTACACACAGAGTGCAGTGTCCAGGGGTGCGATACATGCAGAGTTTGGAGGTGCACTACATACATAGTACAGAGTTCAGGGGTGCGCTACATGCAAAGATTGGGGGTGCACTACACACATAGTACAGAGTTCAGGGGTGCGCTGCATACAGAGTAAAGAGTTCAGGGGTGTGCTACACACAGAGTGCAGAGTTCAGCCTCATTTCACAGCTGCTTACCTCTGTACCCCCAACCACATCTCACTTTCACCCCTATTCTTTTCTATTACCTCCCCGCACACTGTAGGTGGCTCCACCTCTCTCACTTCCATTTGCGGTGTCGGCATCTGACTGGACCCCACACCTGTATTTTCTTTGCTTCATCCTGCACTCAGTGGGAGCCACTCATGAGATCTGATCTGTGGGAGTCATTGGGAGACAAGCTGTCACTGTAAAAACACAGAAGCCAGAACTCTTGTGTTTACAAGTGATAGTGATGAGCATGGAGCAGAGGTCCTGAGCCAGAGGTGAAGCTCCACCAAGTTCCAGCTGAAAATAAGCCCTGGTATTATCATGACAGTAGAAGAGAGCATTCTATTGAAAGGGGGAAGCTAAAATGACAATTGGAATTTGACGTATTGATATGGGCAAAGCTCCATGTTTAACTTCCTTACTTTAACATTTAAGTCAAGGCATGGTGGCCACAATTTGCACTAATCATATCCTGTGGGAAAATTAATCTTTTATAGGCAGAATTTATTTTTTGATAAACTGACACTTTCTTATACTTCTTCACTGAAAGTAAAGACAATAATGTAACTGGAAAAGCAAATACCTATACATGAGCTCCTAGCATTTGAAAAATAAAACAAAATGTGACCTCATCCAAAATTACTGAGGGTGCTGGTTTAAGGAAGCAGGAGTGTAAATCAGGCTAATTTGAAACTGTGCTGTTTCAAGATCCCATGTGTGCCGATCATGGCGTCAGACCCCAGCCCTTCTCACCAAACTCGTGACCAAAGGACTAGCCAATCTAAAACCGCGCTGTCACGTGCGTAACAATGTGACACCGAGCTTCATCCTGAACAAAGATTCTCCAGCTAACGGACCACATAATCGATGTACCTGCAGCCTGAGAGCGATTGTTACTGGGTCAGGTTAATTACGCAAATAACTCTTCACACTGCCACCACCTCCTTTTTATACAGAGAAAGAGGAAACTCGGCAATATCAGCAATAACACTATGATGTTTGAATAATCGTTGGTATACCACTGTCACCGCAGGCAGAGATATACCGAAGTTTAAAACACACACACAGTAGCGCTTTTCAGAGGCAGGGTGTCAGGAATGGACTGGCCAGCAATGGTGGGACTCACCTGCCTTATGAGCTGCAGTACCAGGGCTGGCCTGCGGGTGCTCCCAGCAATCAGAGACTCAACCTTGCAGCCAGTCAAACACCTGGAACTGATTATACTGGTGTATTTAAGGGATGGCCAGACCTGCAGACTTGGCCTTGGTGTGTGTTTCTCCTGGGCCCTGTATCCTGTTCCTGCTCCCTGTTCCTGTTCCTGTCTGATTCGTTGCTGACCCTGCTCTGATCCCTGGCTTTGTCTGACCATTCTCCTGCTCCTGATCCCTGGCTTGTCTGACCATTCTCCTCTGCCTGACCCTCTGTACCACGCTGCCCGCTACCTGCTGAACCTGGCTTGTGACCCCGACCATTCTCCGCTTGCTCCCCCTGTACCTACCTGCCCGATTGATATTGACCCGGCCTGCCTGACGATGCTTGCATTGTATGTACTGTCATCTGTGGGTGGTTGGTTTGGTTTGTTTGCACTGTGTTATGTTTTAGTATTGCACTGCGTTTATGTTTGTATTGTTAGTGTTAATAAATTATATTGTTTATAACATATCTGAAGCCTGCGTTTCCCTGCGTCAGTCACACACCTCTGGTCATACCCGGGAGCCCTGACACAGGGATTCTTAGTTTGCATTATAGAGCTTTAGAAACAGTTCAACACTTTCAGATAGTAAGATTTATTACTAAAAGGTCAAAAGGGTGCAATAAAAATATTTACAGAAAAAGATGTAGCCAATATATATAAATATACAGAGAACAATAGCACAGCAAAGAGATAACAGAAAGAAGTTTAAAGGGATAAAGTACTTGCCGTCCGCCTTGGGTTAAGCAGATCAGGTTTCAGAGCCAAAAGGGTCTTATCTCCCAAAGTTAGTTCAGATGTTAAAAAGGGAGATTCTTCAACTTTGCTCAACTCAGCTTAGCTTTACTTCAAGCACCACAGCCTTTATCTAGGAACTCCGCAGGGTGTCTCCCTGAAGCAGAGAACCAATCGCCTCATTTGGGGAGGGGGTTGTGTAGGCAGAGAGCTCAGGCTATGACCAAAGCCTTCACAAATTATACTATGGCCAATAACTTTTCATAGGTACATATAACATTCTATCCACGAGTAGATTAATACCCAGAATCTTCTACAGAACGTCTACATATGAAATATGAGATACCTGCTTGGATGGTTAAAGAGATATAATTTTCTGCTCTCCTGTATATGCCAGCTAGGGGGTGTAATATACCAGGCGATTTGCCTTAAAGTGAGCCATCTGGATATGTGCTCCATGTTTGTGTAATTATTTCCTGTTTGGAGATATAAAATTATATGGAAATGATATGGGTTTTAAAATGTAAGTCTGTTGTAC